CCAAAGAAAGTGAGAGGAAAAGAAAGCAAAGAATCCCGCGACAAAAAGAAGAAAAGCCTGGCTTGCGCATTTCCCAAACTAGGTATTTTAATATATTTTAAAAAATACTTTCCTCGAAGTGGAGGGGAAAGTTGGTTAGCACGCTGATAAATCAAGGTTTTGAAAGCATGTAATGTAAATATAATGATAATCTATCTAAACAGGAGAAGGGAAAAAGGCATCTGTAGCACTTAATCAAAGCTTTTTTTAATCCAGCGGTTGAAAGGTTGATCAATGTTATTATGGTTAGGATTAGAAAGAAGAGCTGCTCGCATGTATTGTTTTGAGTAATTTGACCGTCTAATCTAAGGTAGCGGGTCAGGTCATATTCAAAGACAACCTGGAAGGCCGGTAGAATTGTTGGATAGCGTATCGGATTGGAATTGGATGTTGTGATAGTAAGAGATTTTTTAACCTCAGACCCGCGAAACTTACAGTTCCATTTCTATCCAGGATTTATCAAATTTTGCTTTAAGAGGATCACGCAACCAGAATTACTGAAAAAAAAAAACGTATTTTGCTGACCACAAGGCTTTTATGGTCAGATGAGTTATTTGCGCGCGTCTGCAGTCCACATCCCAAATTCCAATTCCAAATTTTCGGTTTTGCTGTCGTTGAACAACGCTGCATAATCATGGTAACGTCCACAATCAGGTTTTTGCGAGTTTTCTGTGTGAGTGGGCGAGCATCCTGAGCCACCGAGAAGACGAAGTGAAATTCCCTCGACAGAGATATCAGAGGTAAGAATGATATCAACAAACTCTGTATTAAAATTATTCTAAGCGTTATTTTTTGTTTAGTTAGACGGGAGCTTGAGCGGAAGGGCGAGTTTTATATCTTTCTACCTACGCGAGCGTACGAAACACTGAAAACAAAGCACTGACGCGTTGCTAAACATTGTGAAATATTAAGACAGAAAAAGATGGGGATGCTAAGACCAATTCAAGGAAGCTTAGAAATTATGTTTTACGGGTTATTCTAGTATAAACTGTTAAGCTCAGCCGACCAGTGCATCGTGAGAAGTAAGGCTGATGTAAGCTTAAAAGTGATAAACAAGAGAATCTTGCCTCGACGCTAATTGTGGATTTGGGTTCGTGCCAAATTTTTCATTGGCAGCACGTTTACCCAGTGTTCAGAAGTAATAGTCCATGAGTATAAACACAGCAAAACCGAATGATGTTAGCACATTTGATTTGAATATTACTTAAAAAGTTCGTCTCCTTAGTTAAGAATAGTCACTAGTGCGTTGCGTAAAAACATGGTGGTAGTGAATGAGCCATGAGCTTACTTTT